GTGTATGTGTGATTAATTAGAGATAAGAATGTCATGAACTTTCCTGCCTGGGCTGGTTTCAAACTGTAGTTCTCAGATCTCAGCTTCCAGATTAGCTAGGATTACAGGCATGAGCCACCAGTGCCCAATGAGATTACCATATTTTAAATAAAAATTTTCCACATTCCTACAATTCAAAATTCCTCCTATTATGGTCAGAAAATATATGGGTTCTTTTGTTTTTGTTTTTTTTTGGTGGGGGTGTTGTCTTTTTTTTCTGGCACTAGAGCTTGAACTCAGGGACACATACTCTCACTCGGCTTTTTACACTTATGGCTGGCTCTCTACCCTGTGAGCCACACCTCCACTTTTGGCTTTTTGCCATTGGAGTTTGTCCTCAGATCTCAGCCTCCTCAGTAGCTGGAATTACAGGCATTACAAATTTACAGCTACTCTCTCCATCTTAAGCAAAGTGCATAAATGGGACCTGAATGTTACAGTCAACTTAAGTAAAAGTCATAGGTGGGACGTTAGTGTTACAATCACTATGAAGAAATCTTTTATTTAAAGATTAAGCAATAACTCTGTTGTTTTGGTTTGTTTCTGGCTAGCTCATCCGAGTTGTAACCAGCTCAATTAAAGTACAAGGAATCCTGTCTTATGCCTGTGTCATACTCTTCTATTTTGGGTAAGATTGGTTATTTCTTGAATATGTTTTGATTTTATAGTAAATTACAAATGTAAGGAGTAATGGAAGCTGATAGCACCCAAACAATACTTATCCTTTTCTATTGACTTTGAGTTTTATTTTGATCTTAATGAAATGTTTTACTTTAAGTGCTTGCAATTAGATTTTTCATTTTTGTGTCAGTACTGAGCTCAGGGCTTTATGCTTGCTCAGCAAGGTATTTTGGATCATCACCTCCAGCCCTTTTGGCTCTAGTCACGATCTCACTTCTTCCCCATGCTGGCCTGGAGAGTGGTCCTCCTGTTTTATACTTTCCACTATAGCTGGGGCAATAGGCATGTTCTACTACACCTAGCTGTTGGTTCACATGGGATCTCAAATTGTTTTTACAAAGTTGGCTTGAACTGTGATCTTCATCTCCACCATCTAAATGAGATACCACGCCTAGCCATATTTTCTTCTATAGAAAAAAAAAGTGCTCTTGCAGTCATTTTTCCATATTTAAAAACACCCGTGAGGGGGCTGGGAAGGTGGCTCAGTGGTAGAGTGCTTGCCTTGCATTCTTGAGGCCCTGGTTAAATTCCTCAGCACCACATGGCAGAAAAAGCTGGAAGTGGCGCTGTGGCTCAGTGGTAGAGCGCTAGCCTTGAGCTGAAGAGCTGAGGGACAGCGCCCAGGCCCAGAGTTCAGGTCCCACCATCGACCAAAAAAAAAAAAAACACCCTTGACTTTATATTGTTTGCCACATTGAGTTATTAGCACATAGCCTATCAACCCAAAGATGATAGTTACATGGTATATATGTACACAGTATGACTATTGTAACTTACATTCTGGTTAAGAGTAAGCAAACAAAGCAATTTAAGATAGTCATAAATGATAAAAGCATAGAATATTGGTTTTGCCTTTACTAGTTTTCTCAAGAAATGAATTTAGGCTGGGCACAGTGGCTGTGCCTAAAATCCTAGCTACTCTGGAGGCAGAGATAAGGAGGATCACAGTTCAAGGCTAGACAGAATACAAAAGTTTACCAAGACCTCATCTTAGTAAATAAGCTGAACCTGGTGATGTATGTCTTTAATTCTAGCTAAAAGGAAGGTATAGGTAGGAAGATGTTTCCACAAGACAATGGAAAGGCATCTCCTGGCTGAAGGGTGGGGCTGAGAAGATACTTGTCAATAAACCCTGTATTCCTAGGAGCTCAGGGAAATTGCAAAGTGGCTGAAGAGGAAAATGGCTCAGACCAAAGGACAACGTCTGTCCTGTTTTTAATTATTTCATGGGTCAAATAAGGAGTCTGTTCCCAGCCCAGAGCAGTTTTCAGACTCCTGGACACTGACTCCGACCATGCTCTGGCTCCCTCTTCCCTTGGCCACTGCCTTGTAAATGGACCTCGTTCCTGTACGGTGATTGGCCACTGCCTGTAAATCGACCTTGCCCCCGTATAGTGATTGGCTGCCGCCTTGAAAATGGACCTAATCACTGTATGGTGATTGGCTGTTGCCTTGTAAATGGACTTGTCCTTGTATGGAGATTGGTCCCTGCCTCATAAAGGGGCCTTGCCCCTGTACAGTGAAGCCCATTCACGAATGGATGTGACTTGGAATACCCACACCCAGAATTACCAGATGCTACAGGGATTACTCTAACAGTGTGGAATTACAAGTTTCTTTTTATTCTCTTTATTGCTTATCGTGTAAATTAAACATTTTTGTACTGAAAGTATTATTTAGTCCTTCCAACTGGTAGACTTTCTTATGAGAACTAAGTTTATGAGACAGTTTTTCCATGTGATAAGCCTTGGAAAGCTTAGACTTTGCATAAGCAAATCATACACCTGTAACTTGTCCTGTGATCCTGGGTCCACCTCTTCTCACCCAGCCCCACATATCCTTAGCTAGAGTTAGAAGGTGGTAGTCTAGATTAACAACTGCGAAGCTTTGTTTTGTTTTCTATTTTAGGTTGATATCACTGAAAATACTTAATAGCATTGTGCTGTTGGGGAAATCGTGCCAATATGTGAAGGAAGCCAAAATGGAAGAAAAGCTGTTCACCCCTCCCCCAGCCAGCACTCCGGGCAAGCCAGCCAGTAAATCACAAGGCAAATGTAAATCCTCACAAGGTATACTGCTCTGCAGCCCTCCCCAAGGACTTCCAGAGTTTATGTCCAAGCTCATCCTAACAAAAACCATTTTCAGTCACTTATTCCTAGTTATTTGGGCTAATGGGTAGATGTTCGATCTCACACACATGTGAACAGTGCTCTGCATTAGTTTACTCATTGCTCGGTGGGTAACTACCTGCCAAGTGGTACCAGGGCAGGGGTCCAGCAGTGAGGAAATGGCTCTGTCTCTGCTCTGGTGGAGCTGCTTCTAGACTGTTAGATGGAAGGGATGAGAAACAGGCACCATAAAGCCCACCCAGGCACCCGTGCTTTGAGAGGAGCTCTGACTTGGAGCTGAGAGCCGCCGGTGCAGGGCTTTGAGCAGAACACATGATGCAACTGGAGTTTGCTCAGACCTGTGGATGATAGACAGAGGGCAAGTGCAGAAGCAAGCGCAAGGCAGACACAGATAAACAGTTGTTGAGCCAGTGAGTCCAGCCCAGGTCAGCTGTCCCTAAGGCCAGGCTGGAGAATTCCAAAGACCTAATAACACTGACACACTAAAGTTTGTTAGGTGCATTTTCTTTCTGGTTTATACCTCCTAGAAGTACACATACTTCATTCACTAAGTCTAGCTAATGTGACTACAAATAAGAGGTAGAATGCTTTAGAGTGCTGGTGGAACCAGAGATGATTTTTCAGGTCTGTGGGCAACCATCTTACGGTGCTAGGAGAAGGAATGGCTCTTTTCAGAACTGGGTGATTATGTTAGCTGTATGGTATGATCAACACAATACTCCCTTTTATATACATTTGGATAAGCTGGGTGCCAGTGGCTCACACCTGTAATCCTAGCTACTCAAGAGGCTGAGATCTAAGGATTGTGGTTTGAAGCCATCCCAGGAAGGAAAGCCCCTGAGGCTCTTACCTCTACCCACCAAAATGCCAAAAGTGGTGGCACTGTGGCTCAAATAGTAAAGCGCTAGCCTTAAGCAAAAGAAGCTCAGGGATAGGCCTCAGGCCCTGAGTCCAAGCCCCAGGACTGGCACAGGAAAATAAAAAAAAGTTTGGATAAAAAGCAAATTTGGTGTAGCAGCTAAATTTTATTTTAAATTACAGCTGTGTATACACTCAGCTGTTCACTAAGCAGGAGGATAACGGATACTTTTAGTAGCACTGGAAACAGGAATGTTGATAATGCTCATTTACTGTAACTAGAGGAGAATCATTCTCTAACTCAGTGGGCCTGCTTTCCCCTAGGCCTTTCCACAGAAGAAAGCCTGCCTGCTTCTGTCACCAGCCAGCCCCCTCATCAAAAGGAAAATGTCATACCATTACTTGTGACCAGCAATTCTGATCAGTTTCTGACAACCCCAGATGGTGATGAGAAGGACATAACACAGGAAAATTCAGAGTTAAAACACAGATCCTCAAAGAAAGATTTGCTAGAGATAGACAGGTTCACAATTTGTGGAAACCGAATTGACTGAATCCTGTGGTTTGTGTGTGGAAGAAGCCGAGCCCCGGAGCAGCAGGAGCTGGTGCTGCCGGTACAGACGGGTGCTACGTGGCACTTAAATATTTATTTAAAAACTTAAATTATTCATGGCAAGCGAATCTCCGGATCTTCCTTCCAACACGTTGTGGTCTGGCTGAAGGTCAGCTCACAGGACAGCAGCGTCCTCCGGCCTTGGCTCCGGGCCACTCCATGGAGCACTTCCTCCTGCAAGGCCCGGCGGCTACAGCAGCACTTCCGGGACCCTGCAAAGCAGGGTCAAGTCCTTTGGCTTTGCCAGCTTCCAGAATGTTGGATTCTGCCTCAGAGCCTCAGCAGTGTAAGGACATACCTGGGAAACTGTGAAGCTTTTACCGTGAAATACCTTTCCAGTCTCATGCTATTTTCACAAAGTTTTCAGACGTCATCTGCCAAAGCATTACAAAGTTCTTAAAAATAAGTCAAGATAAATGTTCTTACCACCAGAGTAATCCTTGAAGATACATCTGAATTAATCAGAATAAAGACTGCCTTCAATAAGACTGAATAAATTGTAATGTTTTATAGAATACAAAAAAAATCCCAGCATCAATTCATTTATTTAAAAGAAAAAAAATCAGTTCATGAAGGTATGCATCACTGAGAAAATGTTTAGTCATTTTTCAGTTTACTCTAAAGCAAAATGTGATCTGTGTGTTATTTAATTGCAGTGGATAAAATAGAAACTTCCGTAGAAAAAGGCACCTTTTTTTTTTTAAACTGAAAATGCAGAGCAGTGTTAACGTAAGTATAGTTAACTAGTTTCGCTTCAAAATGAATCGCCTCATCAGTTGCTACCACTAGAAAGATTTGGTGTTAAATGGCTGAAAATTTGTAAGTCCACAAAATTCAAAACTGGATTTTTTTAAGTGACAGTTTTGGCGTCAGTATTCCAAATGAATCTCGCGCGCACCTCTCCAGCGCTGCTACAAGGGCAAGCCAGCCACCCCCTGTCTGGACCAGGTGCGGTACACCTGCGCCCAGGCAGAGGCTGTGTTGTGGGGGAGGGGTGACGGTGGGCATGCTCGTGCTATGCCGGAGGGGCGTCAGAGGCAGGGTGAGGGAGAGCTTGGGACGGATGGAGGTTTGCTGGGGCAGAGGAGGCATGTGAAGGTGGATATTGGGAACCGCAACCAAAAAGTACTTTTCAGTTTTGTTTGAGATGAAGTTTGCATTTCTGCTGTCTTACCAGTTGGCAATCTGCATCATACCCGCTGTGTTTTGAGACTCCTTTCTGCCTTTCTATACAGATTTGACTACTGCTGATTGCAGAACTGTCTAGAAGATGGTACTATTAACTTTACTTTGTTCAATGTTTCAATTTTGAAATTTAACTCTCATGCAAATGTTTCAGGCATATTTACACAGAAGGCGAATTTTAAGTCACTTGTCTATACCTTGGATAAAATGCAAAGCAAGCCTAAATGCTTTGGCTTGTTCATTTGGAACATAAAAGTGAATTTTAATGTTTTGCACTAACTAAAGAAATCTGAAGATTGATGTTGAAATATTGTACAGACATGCCTTGTGAAGCCAGAAAGTATTTTTAAGTTAAAAAAAAAAAAAAAGAACATGGTTTTTGGGCTGTGTGTGTCCCAGGAGGGCCCCATTTGAAGCTATTCTTTTTTCTATCTCCTTTTCACCAACTAAAGGGACAATGTTTTGGTGAACAGGAGCAGTCTGAACGTGCTCTGACCAGAGCAGGAGCAGGGTTTGGGTTTCCCTTAGTCCCGCTTGAATTCTCTGTCACTGTGCCGTTGTTTTTATTTCTTCTGAAGATGCTGTTGGGTGTTTGGGAGGATATGCATTTCTTCTGTCATAATGGCATTCAGTACTAATTTTATAAGTGCATCTTGTGTGAAACTCAATAAATTCAATTTTGTAATCTTTTTTTTAAAAAGGTCACTGCATTTATTTCCATGATGTTTTCCACTACATTTGGTGGGGGTGTATGTTTTCCACACCAGAGTAAGCACGTATTTCCAATTTACAAGTGAGAGGCCTGGCGTTTGTTCTGGAGTGGCCATCGTCCATTTGAATGGCTCCAGCCTTGACCCTTGCGCAGCTCTGGCCACGAGATGCCAAATGCATTCTGTGTGTATCATGGTGTCACGCCAGGAACATGCTTTTCCCTTCATGGGAGTTTTGATTAAAAATAAATAATTAAAGCACACCATTTAGCATTGCCTTTCTAGTTTTCCCTTTGGAATCAAAGCACACCTACCCAATGTCATTCATGAATTTGTCCAGATTTTCTTGCACACTTGGGCAAGGTTCATTGTAGTTGTACAAAGGAGTTGCCATTCCAAAAGCAGTTTACGAATGCATGTGTCTTGATCAGTGTCACCCCTCAACACTCACCCACCCCTCTCAACCCAACCCTTCCCTCACTTTTCTTAATTTTGTATGAAATTTATTGAATTTGTCAACTAACAAAGCAGTTTATGCATCTTGATCTGTGTCACCATCCAAAATTTTTACCCCCTTCCCGTATTCTTTTTAAATTTTGTGGTATATACAATGAATTCCTGATCGCATTGTCCCCTCTGCCCCCTTCATTTGTGTGCCCCTCTCCCCTTGGCCTCACCCGTCCCCACTTGCAAGTAACCATTTCCTGGTACTTTTTTTTAGTTGGGTTTTGACTTTGTCTTTCTAAAGTATTATAATACTTGTGCTCTCCATAGTGTGTTGTACTTGAGTCAATGCGTTTGTAACCACTTGCATCAAGGTTCCGATTTTGTATTCATTATACATAGCATGCAAGAAACTTGGTGTAAGCAGCTCCTCAAAACTTCTTCTACCACTGTTAACAGAACAGATGAGTTCACTAAGTAGCTTTAACCACTGCATTTCAGTACACATGGGCCTTAGGTAGTAGCTCCACACAGGTTTGTGGATCTCCTGTGCGGCAGGGACTGTCCTGGGCAGGGGTCAGCAGGAGGTCAACTCGTCCAAAGGACCTTTCAGGCGTATTTCAGTCCCCAAATTTAAAGCAACAGTGTTTGTAACACTGGTTAGCTTTTGGGTTTTTTTCTTGTTATGTTTGTTTTAAGAGAATGCCAGCTGGTTTACAGTGCTTGTATAAAGTCGAAAGAAATCAGAAAATGTTTTTTCACTAAAGAACTGCAAGCTGTGCAAAGCCCCTGGTCTCCTGGGCATGGCTAGCGCGTCAGCCCCTCGTTGTGGACTGCAGTGCCTGCCCCCCTGCTGTTGCGTGCAGCCACGTGGCAAGTGCTCGCCCATGGGGTGTCGGTGGGAGGCATGGCATTAGGGCCCGAAGTGAGTCAGAACCCAGAGAAGGTGACGCCCTGGCCTCACCATACAGATGAGTGCGTTGCACTCTGGGTGGTCTGAAGAGGCGAGCTGTTCGGGTAGAAAACATCTTGGGCTATACACCAGGACCACTAACAGGAAATGTTTTTAGTCTAGGCTATAGGGCCTGAAAGGTCTGGGTTTTAATGTACCTCTGCTCCCACTGGTATACCAGAATCTGAAAAGATCTGTAGATCTTGACTTCAGAGAGATGAGGTGAAACACTTTCCTGAAGATACTCAGAAGCGTGCTTACTCCTGTGTATTGTGTCTAGTTGTACTTTTGTGGGGTCTGACTCCCATCACCATCCCCCCCCCCACTTCCCACCCCCACCCTAGCAACTGAACAGCAAGCTGGCTCTTACGTGGCCACGTCCTGTGTGTTCTCATACTCTGGTCAAACACATTTCTTGCCCCTTATCTTTCAGGAAAGGGCATGCACAGTAAGAATAAATCATGAGTACAAGCTAACAGCAAGGAGGTGTGGGGCAAAAGCAGTTCATAAATTCTCAGAGCAGGAGAGCCTTGGTGGAAGCCCACAGGGTGGGGTTGGAGGCCGCATGGGAGCTACCGCAGAGGTGCAGTTGGAGGAGGGAGTGGTGTTCCTTCATGCCCCGGGCATGCCGGATGGTTTAGATTGTGCCTTTAATTCGATTAAAGAGGAATGTATGTCTTGGAGAGGGGAAGTTGCTGGGAGGAAATCAGCTGTGGGAGGGAGTTACTTCTAGGGAGCTGGAAAGTAGAGATCAGCCTCAGCCATGCAGAGAAAACAGCACTGCTGGTCTATGCGTGAGTAAGATAGGAACATTAACATGCTAATGAGAGGCGTGAAAGCTGTATTTAATGTTGATTGATATTTGAAGAAGTGAAGAAGAATCAGGCCTCAGTCCGCATTTTTGCCATGAATACAGAACTTCCATTTGGGCAAGTGGGAAAGCCATGGAGGCGGTGGGTTCTGGGGAGCAAAGTTGGTACTGTTTTTAGATCGGAAACCGCGGAGTGAACAGGCATTTTCAGGGTGATCATCCTACTAAGTGAGTACTTTCAAAACTTCAGTTCTTTTCAATGAGCCTATTCGTTTAGCTATGTTTACATAAGGATGTGAACACAGGGAAGGTCAAAGGCTAGTTATTCATGCCAAGGTGAACCAGGAAGTGAAATGCAGAAGAAGAATGCCTAAGAATCCTGCTGGACTTGATTGCACAGTGTGTGGCACAGCACAGAACTTGTGTGTGGTTAAACTGACCCAGCGGTCTTGACCCCACATGACAAGTGCCAGGGTGCTAGTTGTAGGAGAATGACCCGTGTAGAAAGGTTCTACTATGCCTCGGAAGCCCTAACACCTTGTAATCCTTTCTGGCATAGTTGGGTGAATAAAAGAGGAGCCCTTGTAGAGGATGTACAGTTGAGCTTCTTTGGGGGTGAGGAGAGAGCAGGATTAGACCTTAGACCCATAAGAAGGGAAGGAAGAGCAAGGCATGCAAGAAGGAAGTAGGATCTTCCGCAGACTGCTGCAGAGAGCCAACAGAAAGCTTCAGGAGGGGATCAACTTGAAGACAGAGGCTGGGTCTCAGAGCGTTGTAATTCTTTACCACGCATCTTGGATCTGATCTGTGGACAGAGAAGAAGAAAGGGAAGCGGAATTGTACATTGGGTTGTTACAATTATTAAAGGAGAAGATCAGTGTGTTAGGAAAGGCAGCCTGGTGGCCTTTTACAAAGCTTAAAAAGTCTAACGGGGTGATTTGGGGGGAAAGGCCTGTGCTAGACTCAGCTGCATTCTATTTTATCTCTACTTCTCTATGAAATACAGGATGGTGTCCATTACCTGGAAAGGGTAAGTAGCTTGTCCGAAGCAGTGAGCCACACTGCAGGAAGTCAAACCGTGGCCACGTGGGCAGGGAGGTGACTGGGGCCTTGCACGCCAGGGATGAGGATGCTGGGTTGAAGCAGCTCGTGGAACCTTGTGGAAGGACATGGGGGCTATGTATCTATCACTAGGAAGTTCAAGGAGAAGTGGCTGGCTGTGACCTGCCATCCCACACCTGCCCATGTCTGCAAACCAGGGATAACTGTGTCCGCCTCCAAATGAGTGAATCCACAGCACTGTCCACCCAGGTCGTGCTGCCGCCACGGCATGGAGCCCAGCGCCAGAGCAGTGCACCTCGCAGGCTGGTCCGTGGACCCCAGCATCGTATCACCTGGAAAAGGGTTGCAGTGCAGATTCCAGGGCCCCTTCCAGACATGCTGAATCAAACCCTGAAAGGCTGCCCCTGAGTTCAGGCTTCAGTGACTCTCTGCCCACTAATGAGATTTTAGCCTGACACCTCACTCTGAGAACTTTGGGTCCAAGCCTTTACCTCTCTTTTTCCCCGGGAAATTAATGGAGAGACTAAGATAGGATTTAGGTGCCAGAAGTGGGCTAACAGATGCCTAGACTTTATTTAAAAATCTGTGTCTCAGTACTGTCATTTGCTTAAAGCCCGGCAGCTACCTAGAGGAAAAAGCAAGTTTAATGTGATTATTTGGGGTTTCTTTTGTATGTTTTCCCCCCATGGTATAAGCCCTGTTTTCACTGTATTTGATTCCAGTGCCTTGCATCTTGTATATACATTTTTCTAATTTAGAGAGGGGAAGGGAAATAACAAAATGCTGAAACAAGGATACAGGCTGACCCATTGTAACAATGAGATGTACAAGACACTATGGTGAAAACAAACTTTACAACTTGGGGAGGGAGGAGTTGGGGAGGTGCGGAGGAAAGGGATGGTAGAGGAAAAACAAAGGAGAGATAACAATGCTCGACAGGAAATGTACTCATTACCTTGCTCATGTAACTGTAACCCTTCTGTACAGTGTTTTATAATAAAAATATTTTTAAAAAAGAAAAAGCAGGTTTAGAGCCAAGGGCTTCTAGGTCTTCCTCAAAACCCCCATATTAAGGCTAGGTGCTGGTAGTTCACGCCTGTAATCCTAACTACACAGGAAGCTGAGAGCTAAAGATCATGGTTTGAGGGCTGGGAAGGTGGCTCAGTGGTAGAGCGCTTGCCTTGCATGCATGATGTCCTGGGTTTGATTCCTCAGCACCACATAAGCAAAAAGAAGCCAGAAGTGGTGCTGTGGCTCAAGTGGTAGAGCGCTAGCCTTGAGTTGAATTGCTGAGGGACAGCACCCAGGCCCAGAGTTCAGGCCCCATGACCGGACCCCCCAAAAAAAAAAAGATCATGGTTTGAAGCCACCCAGGGAAGGAAAGTCATAAGACTCTTGTCTCCATCTAACCACCAAAAAGCCAGAAGTAGAGCTGTAGCTCAAGTGATAGAATGCTAGCCTTGAGCAAAGAGAAGCCTTGAGTTTATGCCCCAGAATACTCCCTCTCTCTTTTTGTCTCTCTCTCTCTGTGTACACACGCATGCACACACACACACATGCGCACGCACATGCACACACACGAAAATCATATTCCTCCTATTGCACTTCAGTGATCTGTCCCCAGCTGTAGGCAAGAGAACCTTTCTGAAGGGTCATGCAGAAAGCCCTGTGCACTGGGCCAAGGGACCATGTGACTCCAAATCTGTCATCCCCAGAGTAGA